TCAGCAGGATATTAAACGTGCTTTAGTGCACATACGAAGGTAAGAAGAGCGAGGGTTTAGCTGTCCTGATCTCTTGTCTGCAAGGGTGGCTGTAAAGCAATGCGGAGGGAAGAGAAAGAACACCATTAACATGTGTGACACTGACTCTGCTCTGTTAATTGGGCCGTTATCAGTTAGATAACAGTTCAGGTCAGATGCCAGGTCAGCATAACCTGGGTAAAATCAACCTAGTCTCTGGCAGAACCAAACACCAGCAGCCAGCTGTGACACAATCTAAGAAATTAAGTAATGTGTTTATTGCAAATTTATTGTAAATGATGTGGTAAAATTGTTTTACTAGGACAAGTAGAGACTTACAGGCAATCTAGGAAAGGGCTTGTATGAGAAATCAGTGAGATGCCAAGTTACGACTTGATTTCCGTTATTCCGTCTGAAGAGAAAGTGTGATTGCAAAAAGGGAAGTGTTTACATAAACTGATAAAAAACTTGAGAATTCAGCAGAACACGGCCACGTGTTCCTGAGCTTTCTTCCATAAAAGTCTCACCATGTCTGATAGAGCCCCATTCACCTTCACTATGAAGGGAATCATACTTGCGCTAGCGCTCACCCTTGTAGGTAAGTTCATGTGGCCCTTTTTCACCTGTCTCTCCCAAATTTTCCTTAAGCTCAGTGGCAACAATTGGATCTGTGCTGAATGTTACTTAATCTGTTTCCCATTTCTTTCTGTAGGAAGCCAGAAGTTTGACATTGGTAAGTAAATTTCCTTCTATAACCTTCCTTCGATGACTTTGTCACAGTTTCTGTTGTGAAACGCCCCTGCCATTCCCCACAGACCCTGGATTCGGCAGCAGAAGGAGCCACGTGTACAGCTATGAAGGCTGGGTGTTGAATGGGCTTCAAGAAAAAGGTTTGGCCAAAGCTGGTGTGCGCTTGAGCTGCAAACTAGAGATCAGCGAGCTGTCAGAGAACACTTACCTCCTCAAGGTATCCAGTGAATTGTAAATCACAGACGTAATTGCAACTGGCTAACCTGGGCTTTAGGAAAGCTGTAGGGGGCCCAACAGCATGGAGACTCCATGCTGTAGATGTTGGATTATGATCTGCAAGTTAAAGTTTCAGACGTGACGAGTGATTTGGCATCCAGTCACTGTTGTCCGTTGTGGAAAATGGTTATTTCTAAGTTACATCACTCAAGCCTGCTCTGACTTGAAGATTTGGTGCTAGGCTCAACGCTCATTTCCTACTTTTGTAGGAAGACTTGGGTATGTAAAATTATTGTCACGCAGGCAATTAATAAATGTAGACCAAAAAAGTGATAAAAACCTAAGAAACTGTAAGTGACAAAGATTTAAAAATGAAAGGCATCAAAAATGAACATGTGATACTATACAGTGTTTGGATGATGCAATAAAAGGTCTGTACGTGTGAAATTACGCCTCTCAAGATCAGTAGAGATAGGACTTGGCCCATCAGAATAAGTATGTTTCAGAAAAATACTTTTATTTGTCTGTTTAAGTCAGTTATGAAACAGCTTCTGGTTTGGGCACTGAGTTCAGTGATAGAGCTCTTGCTGGTTGTAGTTGAGCTGTAGATTTTTGTTTCTTTTTTTCTTTCACTGACAGGGGCCACATGTCAAAGTTATGAGCCAGGGATTGCATTTCGCGCTCTAGTCTTCATCCTGAAGTTCTTACGTGGTGTGCGCCAGGCTCTGCTCTGAGGCACTCTGTCAAAGTTACTGAAATCTCTTCTGATTCGCATTGTGTCTCAGTAAGGGGAAGAAAAAAGGTTTATAAATACATCAGTCATATTTGAAAAGTAGTGGTTTGATTTAAGCAATTCACAAATATGCAGCAAATAGAGCAACTCGTTTAGTCACACATTTTCAGAAGGAGATGAGTTAAACTGAGACATTCTAAAACTACACTTATTTGATATTTAGAATGATAGAAGCTTTTTAAAAGCTAAATTTCACTTGAAGCAGAATATTTATTTTAAGGCTGAAAAAAATAGGGACAAATCTGATTTATTTTTTTAGTTACTTTTTGAATTACCCTTTCTCCCTATAGAGTTAATGCAAGTAAAGTGTTTAAAACATTCCTGAGAGATTATAGTGATACGTTAACTGCTTCTGGAAGATACAATAATACTCCTGAGCCTGCAGGATTTCTACTGGTTTTACACTTGTGTAAGCAAAAGACAAAAGGTTAGACTGCTATATGAGTTTCTAAGCCTTGGAAAGCAAAGATTATATAACTGGTGATTATGTTAATTTCTTCTGTCTGTCTGCATATTTAGCACCAATGGAGTTTTATTCACATGAGTATCTTTTCTTAATTTCCTCCCAGATCCGCTCTCCACAGTTTGAGGAATACAATGGCATCTGGCCCAAGGACTCATTTACTCGATCTTCCAAAATCACCCAGATGGTTTCTTCATGTTTTACCCGGCCTTTCAAGTTTGAATACAGTAGTGGACGGATTGGAAACATTTACGGACCAGAAGACTGCCCCAATATATGTGTTAACATAGTGAGAGGAATACTGAATATGCTGCAGATAACCATTAAAAAGTCACAGAATGTGTACGAATTGCAAGAGGTTTGTTTTTTCCACTCTAAAATTACTTTATGGAAAGGGTGTGTTCTTTTTAGGTGCTCTTTCTTTAATTTTCTGTTTATTTGCATTTGCTTTCAAACGTTCCTCATCAAAACCCCCACAATTTTCATTCACACAGAAGAGAATGTGTGTATATGTATTGAATGAATTATCTGGGCTAGATTTGGTTTAAAGACATGTGTCTTTAAGACTTGACATGCAGTCCTTTGAAGGAAAAAAAGTATTAGTTATTAATGTATCTGTTACGTGGCTTCCCTGATGCAGCTACACGAGCCATTTTATTTTTTAATACAGATATAAATTAATTGATTAGTTTTTTAAACTCCATCTCCTGATTATTATTCACGTCTATTTTTTAGTTCAATAGGATTCATTGCATATAATGGTAACAGGTTTCAAAACATAATTAAGACTGTTCAGTAGTTCTTCACCCTCATTCTGGTCTTTCAGAATCTTCATTCAGTAGCACTGCTGACGCAGTGAAATGCTGATTTAACTGGGAAGTCTCATTATCTGTGTTGATCTGCAGGCTGGGATTGGAGGTGTTTGCCACACAAGGTACATCATCCAGGAAGACAGGAAGAACAGCAGAGTCTCTGTAACCAAAACTGTAGACCAAAATAATTGCCAGGAGAAGGTGAAGAAGAGTGTTGGAATGGCTTACATTTACCCTTGTCCTGTTGACGTGATGGTACGTGAGGTGTGAAAAGACCTTCTTAATTACAAGCACGGCCATTCTGTTCCCATTCACTCTTTGTGTGTCTCTGTCCTCCTCCAGAAGGGAAGGCTCATAAAAGGGACTGCAGCTTTCTCCTACAAACTGAAGCAGACAGACAGCGGTACCCTCATCTCGGAAGTGGTATCGCAGCAGGTGTATCAGATCTCACCTCTCAGTGAACCTACTGGTGTTGCTGTCACGGAAGCAAAGTAGGTGGGACGTGTGCTTGCTTCACAAAGTGAGAATAACGATAGATTCTGGAAGTCCATTTCACCCCCAACTGAAGTGAAATGAGAAGTGAGCTCCACCGCAGTTGGGTTCTTTATTTGTACCCTGGTGAATTTGGCATTGCAATTATATGAAGGAAAATGAGAAAAGCTCTTTTGCTCACGTGTGCTATAGGAATGCAGCTTCACTGCTCTGTCCTGACAATGGGCTAATTTATACTGTCAGGAGGAAGATGGCGCACGTAGAAATAAGATCGTTGATTACACTTTTGGTAGCTCTCATGCAGAGACAGCAGTTTAGCTCCTCAGAAGCCATTTCATTGTAGTTAACTCTAATACCGTTTTGTTCCAATGAGAAGGCTTCATCCATTAGCAAACTGTAAGACTTTACTGTGATAAGAAAAATGATTAGAGTAAAACTGATAGCATCGTAGTATCACCAAACCAACAAACAGTCAAGGCAAGTGGTGGAAAAGAGCCAATTCATTCTTCCCGTGACACTTGTCTCCTGACAGACAACAACTCACCTTGCTTGAAGTGCGAAGCGAACGGGTGAGCGCCCCGGAAATTTCCATGCAGAGCTACGGAGGCCTTCGTTACCAATTCCCATCAGTATTGCCACAGATGCCACTGCAGCTAATCAAGACAAAAAACCCCGAGCAACGGGTATAGTCTTTTTTAGGTCTTCAGATTACATTCCTAATAAAAAGAATGAAGAGTAATGATCATGAATTCCAAAGGAATTAATTGTGTGTGCTCTCTCTCTCACGTATTGTTACAGATAGTAGAAACACTGCAACACATAGTCCTGAATAACCAACAAGATTTCCACGACGATGTGCCGTACAGATTCTTGGAGCTTGTCCAGCTCTGCCGGATATCAAGCGCTGATACCCTTGAGTCCATCTGGAGACAAGTTTCAGACAAACCCCGCTACAGGTATTTCGTTGTAATAGCTTCTAAGAAACTTTTCAATTTTTGGAGAATTGAGAGCTAAAAGTAGGGAAATTTTTTTTTAACCTGCTTGCAGGCGATGGCTGTTGAGTGCAGTTTCTGCGACCGGCACCGCAGAAGCGCTCAAATTCATTAAGACCAGAATTCGCAACGATGACCTTAGCTACCTCCAGACTCTTCTAAGTGTTTCTTTTGCTCTCCATTTAACGAAAGCTGATGAACAGACTGTTCCAATAGCAGCAGTGAGTAAATCTGCGTGAATCTTCCCTGATAACAAAAGGAATGCTAACTGATGACAGCCTTTGATTATAAAGTATATTAGAGACTGGATTCTCCCCTCATATATACCAATTTTGTTCAAATGTTGAAATACAAATTCCTTTTGGCACTGTATATACAAGAGGAGGCACAGTCCTGTGTCTTCATTTCAGTCCATGGATATAAAAGCCACTTTCTTGTAACACTTTCTGAGAGTAATTCTCATTTATTTTGCTTGGATCACATCATACCTTCTACAGACAAAATTTTGTCCACTTCAATCTCTTTCTTCTAAAACAAATGATGATTTCTGTGTTACATCATTTGAGTAGCTCTGTTAATTGTAAAATATTCCTATAAGCTTGAAAGTGCTGGAAGTGCAAACATAAAATATTTTGATGCACAAACATCAAATTATTATAAAATGTTAGTGCAAACATCAAATATTTTGACACTATAATGAATCATTTATTCCAAACAGGATTTTTCCTGTCTCTAGTCAATATTCCTCTTCTCAAATAGGAAAAAAAAGGTATGATATGAGAATGCATCATAGTATAATTGATTCCTAAGTATATTATAGATTGATATTTATACATAATCTTTGTATTTTCAGTGTTATTCTCAGTTGAGAAAAATTAAAATGGTGTTATGCAAACTTATATATGTGCTTATTTATACTGAAATTAGTGGAGAATTCAGCTCCTAAGTGAAGCTTGCAAATAAAATGTCTACAAGTTGATTTAATTTGTTTGGATGTGAACAGTAATCATTCTGCAACTGCTCCCCTCAGACAAACTCTGATGATTTTCCTGCTCCAAAAGCTATGTGAAGCCCTGTATTAAATGCAAAACTAGTTTTGTTTCCCTTTTTTCCCCACAGGATTTAATTACCAGTTCTCGAATTCAGAAAAGTCCCACGCTTCAGCAAGTTGCCTGCTTGGGATACAGTTCTGTGGTCAACAGATACTGTTCTCAGACCTCAGCTTGTCCTAAAGAAGCTCTTCAGGTGGGTGGCTTTTTCTCAAGGTGTTCTTAATAGCCTAGCAACGTTCATTACATTACCTTAACTCTTTTAAGATGTAGAAAAATGGCAACTGGACTTACGAATATATATTTTGTAAGTCTCCTTCAGAACCAAGGCAAAGAATCATTTTAGTAATGTAAATATTTGCTTCTTCATTAAAAACACATTGTAAGGCAAAATCCTGAGAGAAACCATTACCAAGTAATCCTACCAAAACCACTTGGTTTATTGGGGTAGGCTTTTCAGTAGCTAAGGGGAACACTGTGGACAATCTATACATTAGGAAGAAAAGACTGAAATGTGCTTTGCCTATAGCCCATCCATGACCTGGCAGATGAAGCGATCAGCAGGGGCAAAGAAGACAAAATGAAATTAGCTCTGAAGTGCATTGGTAACGTGGGAGAACCAGCCAGCATCAAGCGCATCCTGAAGTTCCTTCCCATATCTTCATCCAGTGCTTCTGATATCCCTGTCCACATTCAAATTGATGCCATAATGGCCTTAAGAAAAACAGCTTGGAAGGATCCCAAAACAGTAAGTATGATCTGTCAGAGATTTCTTCACTTAGTGAATTAGAGAATATATACGGCAAAGAGTAGTGAATTTAATGGCATCATGTCTGTGGATTCAGCATGTGGTGGGTTTTTAAATGTAGGATTATTTCTAAGAACACAATAAAATTTTGTATTTCACCTGATGTTTTCTGCTAATAATAGTTGTTAATCAATAGGAGGTTTCCAGAAGAATATCAGCACTATTTCTTTAGTCATCTGTCATAATCAAATAAGTTAAATATGGTGGAAATTTAACCCCCTAAACCTCAGACATAAAATTTAACCTACATCAATAGTCCATAGGAGAGAGAAAGAGCTTTTACTCACCTCCTAGGCAAAACACTGACATTAGTCTGCTTCTTTTAGACCTTTCCCTTAAGGCTGGATGGATTGACCCAATACCTAACTACATGGACATTTATTTCAGATTCAGCGCCCACCCTTCTCTGTGGGGCTGTTCTTTCACGGCCCCTTCAGCTGTCTTAATAAACTGATGTGGAACCATTCACTAAAAAGAGATCAGGAAACCTTTTTGCGAGGACAATAACCCCCACTCCCATACTTCCTGCAGGTGGATCCAGTCTGCAGAAAGTCTTAATTATTGATAATTCCCGATGCTGTTTCCTCTCTGCAGGTGCAGGGTTATCTCATCCAGATCCTTGCAGACCAGTCTCTTCCTCCTGAAGTGCGAATGATGGCCTGTGTGGTTATCTTCGAGACGAGGCCTGCCCTTTCTCTTATAACCACGATAGCTAACGTAGCGATGAAGGAGAGCAGTTTGCAAGTGGCCAGTTTCGTGTATTCCCACATGAAGGCGTTGTCAAAGAGCAGTTTGCCGTACATGTACAACATGTAAGTAGGGACAGGAATGAATTGGATGATCTTCTGCAAACAACAAGTTCTGTTACGTTCTTGTTAGTGAGCACTGCACGGGCTGACAAACGTTTCAATGTATGTTCTGATGGGGTGCGGTTTATTTCTGGATATTATGACCTTTCTTGTTTTGTTTAGCTCTTCGGCTTGCAACATTGCCCTCAAGCTGCTGGCTCCCAAACTGGACAGGCTGAGCTATCGGTATAGCAAGGTCATGAGTGTTGGTGGTTACTTTGGTGAGTAAAAGCGTTTCAGTGACCAGGAAACTTCCACTTCAGAAATCCATTCTTATGGGACATTAAACCCTTTGGAGAAATAAGACATTCTGCGTTTCAGTAAGACACTGAATCAAATGTGACAGTCATATATTTAAAAGTGCATGAGTAGCCATTTATTAATTTGGACCTAAACAGTCAAAATATATGTAGTGATAATTCTTAGGGTTGGCAATGGAAAAGTCTGCAGAAATATGATCTTGAATGATAAGCAGAATGATTAGAAAAAAATGTGTCTTTTTTTCACTTCTTCCATAGATAACTATAAAATTGGTACTGCTGGAGATGTCTTTGTTATGAACAGCCCAGGAACGATGTTCCCATCAGCAATTATTTCCAAGGTGATGGCATATTCTGCAGGATCAGTGGCTGATGTGGCGGAGGTAAATATTTACCTAAATCAATAATAAAGCAAATTAAAATTAAAATTGACCACAAAGTTTCATCTCTGTGAGTGTGTTTCAGACTGTTCCTTCTCATGCTGTTTTGGTAGGTTGGTGTGCGGGTGGAAGGCCTAACAGATGTCATCGTGAAAAAAAATATCCCGTTTGCTGAATATCCCACATACAAAAAGATAAAAGAGATTGGAAAAACTGTAGGTATTTTCAGTAATGCAATATGTGGATTATGCAAAGAGGGATTTAGCGAGTCCTCTTGTACCAGTTAGGCCCTGTCCCAGAAGGCAAACTACCCACCTAGCAGTCAGCTCCAGGGTTTCTGCAAGCGTGAGATCCGCAGTGGGAGTGGAGGGGACATCACTCCTGCGAAGGTTGCGATAGCTTCTGCAAAGTCTCACTCTAGCCCTGTCTCCTCCCAACCTCACGTGCGGCTGCAGAAGGAGCAGGGGAGGAGAGGGGGAGGTACACACTGCAGCATGGAGAACGGCTCGTGCCTGGCAGGCTTGTCCTCCCTCCCTTTGCCTGCCTCAGTGTACAAGAATATACCTTTGCCTTCAAACGAAAAGGTGATTTGTTGCTGTGCTTTCAAACTGAGTTTAGTGGTGCTAATCGTACTAGTGGTACTAACAGCTCTGTGTATAATGCCGAACACTGGACAGGAGGCTCTTCATGGGCATCTCAGTGACAGGGAGCAAGTCTGAATTAGTGACACTGTGCTATTTACAAAGCAGCAAAGAAACAAGCAGCAATGGAAAACTGCAGCTTGGTCAGTGATGGGTTTGATCACCTTGCTGAATTACAGTTTGTAAAGAGTTGCATTAATGAACTTTGCTTGTTTCTACTCTAGCTGCTGGGATGGAAGGAGCTACCAACAGAAACCCCCTTGATATCAGCCTATATTAAACTATTTGGCCAAGAGCTGGCCTATGCTAACGTCAATAAGGAAGTCCTGCAGCAGGCTATGAAGGTACAAGGAATCTCTACTTTTCTTTGCAAGATTTGACACCCATTGTACTTTTATATCCCAACCTCTTGGACCTCTGTTCTACTGCTAGACTCTGCTAGAACCTGCTGACAAGAGCACAGCGATTAAGAAAATCGTCAGCCAAATCCGAAGCGGCATTGCAGGGCAATGGACACAGCCGGTGTGGCTGGGAGAGCTGCGATACATCGTTCCTACCTGCACGGGTCTGCCGCTGGAGTACGGGTCCTACACGCCTGCGCTGGCACGTGCGGCCGTCAGCGGTGAGCTGGGACGTAGGAGATCAGCTCTGAGCAGAGGGTGGGAGGGATGGGCTAAGAGAGGCCAAGTGGAAAAACTGGAAGGCAGAGAAAAAGACCTAATTTCTGTAGCGGAGGCAGGAGGTAGTGAAGATGTTTGAAGAAAAGCTGAGCACAGCTGATTTCTGCCTCGTCTTCGAATGGACTGAAAACGGAGAAGGTGAGGTGAGAATGTGGGAAACCAGAGAGAGAAAGGTCACAGCATTCAAGGCCAGAAAACACAAGAGCTTCTTGGGGAGCTGGCGCAGATATGGGCAGAAGGAGGTGGCTCCCCAGAGATGCACACACAAGCTAAGCAGGATTCACTGTGACTTAGACAGACAAGAAAAGAGAAGACAATCAAAAGAGAACTACCAGTAACGTTAGAGAAAGCTGGAAGAGGACATATGAAAAGAGACAGAGAGCTGTGTTAAAGCAATAAGTATGCAAGTATAAATACATATCAAGAAGTTAATTCAGTAATCACATTGTTTGTTGTGCGGCAGACTTTCAATTTAGGCAAACCTGACCCTTCCTTTTGCTGACACCATATAAAGAATGAAGGTTGAAGTACATGTACTTGTGCTCTCTATGGAAGTCTCGTATGTGCCCACTCTGCTCTTGTTTTTTGATTTGTTAGTTTGCTTTAAACCCCTCTGCCCTTTCTTTTGTGGGTGGTTTTAATTTCTTTATTTCTTTATTTTTTAAATAGCATCCTTGTAGGCAGGTTGGGCAGGCAGGGACTGGGTGGATGGGCTACAAAGTAAGTGAAGGCTGGCTGGACTGCTGATCTCGGAGAGCAGTCGACAGATGAAAGTCTAATTGGTGACGTGTTATGAGCAATGTTGCTCCAGCCTTAGCCCTTGTTCACAGTCTCTTTTAACAACCTGAGCTTTGGAAAAGAAGGCACCTTCAGCAAATCTGTGTCAACGATGACA